TAAAAGATTAGTCACCGGAGACAAGGAATGAAATATGTTACGCCTTCTAGACTATTCGAGAATGTTCGGTGATTTTTCTATGAATTTTTCGTTTCCTATATAAGCAAATTGAATTGTGTTAAAAGACCGTTCCTACATATATGCCGAAGTGATTATTAGTGGAGTTCGTGCCCGTAAGTGATAAATTTGTGTATAAGTGAGTGATTAATAATTAACTGTAAATCAACCTATCTAAGGACGGTTATATAATTCATTAACGATTAATTGTAGGTACCTACATAAATCAAGCCTATGCTTTTTGCCTTTATTTTCGGTATTAAATATTCGAAACATTTTGGAATTTGGATCCTTCTGTTTCGTTTCAGGGCGGCAAACTCCACACTGTGTAATGGAAATATGTATTATCATTAGTGTGCGGAAAAACAATCCCGAAATTGACACAAGTAAGACTATGAAACCAACACAAAGGTACATTTGTGTAGATTCTCTAAACTAGTCCGAATTAGGTATATACTGCACGACTCATTTAATTTTTTTAATTATTTTTAAATATTATTTACTGTTGTGCTTCATGCTCACTAAACATTATTATTATTCAAGGAACACGTATTGTTCAAATCGTATGTCTCATTGTTTCTGCAAATTGATTTCCATTGCTGCATGCGAGTCTATTTCACACGTTTAGATATGAGCTTTTGACCTACACTAAAACTTGGCAAGTTGTCTTATAATATCTTTGTATTGAGAAAATCACGATATGCGTATGGTTTTAAAATCCCCAACAGACGGCAATGCGTTAGCTGTCTTGTAATTCCCAAAGTATCAATTAACATTGTCTTTCTTTAATTATAAATAGCTACATACATTTAGTCCATCGTAATTAGTATAACTAGGATGCACATAAGAAAGTTTAAGAAATAGATGTTAAGCACTGAGTAATAGAACAACCGTTAGTGATAAACACGCAACAATAATTTTCTCACTATTCACTTGAAGAAATTACACGATGTGGGTATAGGTTGTTAAAATGGCATGGTTCAAATAAAACGTGTTATTTTTTTATATAAGATAAGCACATATTAATCGGTGATATAAGATTACTAAGTTATCAAAAGGGTCTGTCTGTTTCATATTCAGTATATTTTTTGGCACATCTGATTTCTTGAGTACGTAATATTTTAAGCTTCCTAGCTGGACCCAAAATTGACCTACGTGTTTCCTACTACCACCTACTACTACTACATACTACTGCTTTTGGACATGGCAAAATTTCCAACCAACTTAAATAGATTTAAAAGCAAAGTCCATATCCTTTCCCACTTGTAAGTTGCGAAACATGTCGAAGTCTTTTATACCAAGCCGGACCTACTCCAGTTCAGAATGTATCTACGGTCCTCGATACGGTACCTCTTACACTAAGTTGTGTTTCGAGGTGAATTCCGCCAAGTAAATCTATAACTTCGACATTTACAAGGTTGTTTTATTAGATAGGTTGTCTGGTAACTCTAAACCAATAGAATGCTTGCATTTTGAAGGCGGGAAAACGTCATCCAGAATACACATAGTTACCAGGGAACCTTTGAAATAAAATAACCGTGCGACATTTACCTTACCTTAATAATTACTTACATTAAAAAAAGTCAAGTTCAAAAAAGATTGAAGTCGCTAATCCATCTAAATAAACTTAAACATTAAATGGGAATTAACAAAACTAGCAAATACAAACAAATTCAAGGGTTACAGGTACAAGCAGCCGAAGGCAATATAAATAATTACGATTAAAACTAAGTACATTACCTTTTTTTACAGTACAAAACTTACACGAAATTTGAATTTGAAAATTAACGTAAAAGACAACTATTATATACTTGCTGAAAGCAAATGCAAAACGCTACATTTATAATGAACCTGCACGAACCGACAAATTGCACCACAAGCCAATCTAATTCAAGACAATATTCCATTCATATAAAAGACTGACTGAAGTGCTTAATAATGAAATCATTATCTCCCTGGCTGACACTTTTAGAGATCACAAATCGAAATATAAACTTTGAGACTAAAATCAATAATTGCAACTTCCTTAATTTCCAGAGACATTAAAATTTAAATTAAAATTAATAAACAAAAAATTCTGTTAAACCCGAGGTTAAACCGTTTATTTTCTTAACAATAGATACAGGGTGTTTTTTGGGAACTTTAGTTAAACGTTTCTGGGAAAGTAAAATAGATAGCTTTTTGAAAATTTGTACTTAGGAGTTACTCTGAAGGCCGAATCGATGTAAAATATTTTTAAAATGGCCGCACTTCCGGAAACACCGGAAGTAGATAGTAACTTCATTATTTTAAATGGCAACCCCTATTTTTTATTGGATTTTTGGATTCTACGTGAAATTTCAGTTCTTTTGATACCCACATGTCTCTATCTGCCATTTATGGTTTTTAAGTTATTTTGACTTTAAGAAAAAAAATCGCGGATTCAGATGGTACCTTTATAATTGATTACTTAAAAACGATTGTAGTCATGGCAACCTATTTTTATCAGTGCATAGAGAATGAATACGGCCTTCTTTTAGTGCACTTAAAAAAAGTTAAGTTGCGTACGACCGCCCATGGAGATCCAAATTTATGAAACTTCAAAGACTAAAACTCAGTTTTTTTTAATGGAATGGCCATTTTCTTACTATTGCATGAGATAAAGAATCGAAATGGGCATATTTTGATAATACATGTTCCTATAACTATCTGTAACAGTTTCTGACTTATTCCCATTTTATTGAATTGACCCTATTTTTTTCGAATTTTCTTTTTAGTAGTCGGCCATGATTTGATAACAATCGCATTTTAAACAAATCTAGTGACACTGAACAATTTTTCGGATAAACCTCTCACCAGGAAAGATTGCCGGTCACAGAACACTTGATCCTGGTCTACAATCTATGTTTTTCTAAAGATGTGAGCAATTTCCGGGATAGTATCATGTCAATATTGAACAAAAAGACTTTTCGTTCAACATTGGCACGATCCGATTCCGGAAGTCGCTCGCATCTTAAGAAAAACATAGATTGCAAATAGACACAGGGTGTGCTGTGACCGGCAATCCTGGCGAGAGTTATAGGTATTCTCGTACCATTAGGGCCTGGTGCGCGGTTGCACCTGTTGAAACCAACAGTTTCCAACTTTTGTTTTTTTGTGTGACCTACATCATTGTATTCATAATAGATAAAAACTCAATATAGTATATACCTTCGTTACGGAACATAAAAAAAATAAAGAAATAATAAAGGTGATTTGTCCGAAACGAAACTTATTATTTGCCAATTTTTATCTTCTTACATTTTCCATTTTATATCCTTAAACAATTTTTTTTGCCCGTTGACTTGTTCATACGAGGCGCAGCAGATAAAAAGAAGTGAATGCCTTTTCCATTGAGTAAAACAACTGAAAAGATTTTCGCCCTAAGGCGAGTAACTTCAGCGCATTTTCCATGAATGATCAGTACTTTCCAAAAGGCCATAACTACGTGCGCTATGATTTTCTTTACTAGAGGCATACGAGTATATGGTTAAAATTTCAAAGAAATATCTTGATAAATAAAGAATTTGGCACTGACTGCGCGTGCGCACATCTAATTTTTGCAATATCAGTTATGTTTGCCTTTAACAGAAGCATCTGTGATTAAAATTTCAAAAAGAGATCTTGAGATAAATAACAGTTGATATTGCGCATCCTGCGCATGCGCACATTAAACTGATGTTTACAATATGCGATACGTTTGCTTACACTAAACGCAACTTTGGTTAAAATTTCAAAGAAATATCTCTATAAGTCAGAAAGTTCCCATTGCGCAGTCTGCGCATGCGTACAGCTGATTTTTACTATATGCTATATATTTGGCTTCACCAGAAGTATCTGTGGTTAAAATTTCAACAAAATATATTAATAAATAATAAATAAGGAAGTTGTGCGCAGTTTAATTGTCAAGATTTTCCTTGACTCAGGTGCTAGAGCTATACGCTACCGAATCCAAAAAGAACGAACTTAATATCTTTAAAACTGTAGGAGTAGTTAAGACCTCGGACAGACGGACAGAGAAACTGGCTGCAATAGCGCACCCAACTTCGTTGGAAAATGCGCTGAAATCGTTATTCAATGCTTTATCATAAAGATATCGTTGACGCGAATTTAACTGTTCTTTCAAACAAATTTGAACTCATTCGATGTGTACCTACTCGTATATTTGTTCGAGGTATATTTGTAAAATAAATGCGACAAGACAAAATATTTCAGGGGCTCCGATTAAGGGAGAGCTTAATATAGCCACCTTGAAATATGTCAAGTGAAGTGAAATTGAAACAATAGGTAAACATGAAATAAGAAAATTATAGGCACAAAATGTTAATCTCGAGGAATTAGTTAAGTTTCATTCTAAATGTTCACAAAAAATTCTAGAAATACATCTCTACGGCAAAAATAGTACAAAATTCGAACACAAGCTTATAAAAGTATAGTACCAAACAGAAATTGAATATTAGGAAGTGGGATAGTCAATCCTCACGGACCTCTTTATTTCACTAGCGCGCTTTCTATAAAAACCGAGATAAAAACGGAAACGGTGAAACGGTGACATTTCCTTTCGGACTAATTCAATTTACCTACCCAGTATTTGTATCAAGCACATACATATAAACAATTAATGCTACAAGGCGAACGAGGAAAGGGAACTTTGAACATTATGGATTTAAGAAATATTCAAGGCCTATACTAATTTACTAAAGATTTAAATGTAAGTCGTGACTCCGTGAAAAGGTCTGAGATATGATATTTCAGAAACTAGTCCAACACACGCCAACGCGTTACACAATACACATTTCCTAGGAAAGTATCGTGTTTCAACCAATTCAGAGGATTGCCCTCTTCGTTTAACCAATACTTAAAATTTCACGTAATTTCCTTTCTCCAAATATTTTATCGTTCACTGACATTTTTTTTTATTGCAGAAACAATGAGAGGGGTTAGTTAAATAATCGCAAAAAAATGGCGTCAATAGCGCTGGATGCATACCGCCATCATCGACTTTGTGCGATGTCGCCCTCCAGAGAGTCGATTTCGTGTACGAGCACAAAAGGACTGCTAAACGCACCAGGACAGAACAACTGCTTTCTAAATAGTGCAGTACAGGTAAGAGGTATCGCTATTGAAAATATTGAACAAATGTTCCATTTTGATTTTTGATGTACATCCGAGCTGTCAACATTAGAAATTAACAGCCATTAAAATATGACGTAAAAGGAATTGAAATGATACTTTACTCGTAGCTTTTGACGGTCAAGAGAAAGTGTACCTACATATTTTAAAATTTATATAGACATTCCTTTCCTAATTGTGTATATATAGAAATTTGGATGAGTCTAATCTCTGAAACCTTTAAATATTATATAAATTTGAAATAAGGAGAAAATAATTGGTAATTCATATTTTGATTGTGTCCCTTCTTTTGCCGTTCCATATTATGTGAGAAAAGTTGACAATTGACTTCACTGTTCTGCGCTTCTTTCACAATATTTTGATTTAATTAATTTTCACAAAGCAATTATTCAAATACCAACCCTTCGCCGATGGAGTTCTTTACCGATTAACTGAAGTACACAAATAGTCGGTCTTTGGGGTTGCGTACAAAAAGTTGGTACGTAGTATACCGGATGGTGCACGGTAAGTAGGAACATAGGGATTTAACATGGAAAATTAGTTGTATGCAATATCCTGCCCTCCTGTACATTTTACAGAAAAAACTGTAGAGTTTAAAGTTGTTCAGAATTAAAAGGTGCATGCAACTGTTTTTACATGTTTTATTAATCTTTTGGCATACACGCAAATTAAAAAATAAATTTCAACATTTCTGTTATTAGTAGCAATAGCCATGACTTTTGTTGTTTTATGAATTGCTACTAATAACAGAAATGTTGAAATTGACAGTTTTGCATGCACCTTTTCATTCTGAACAACTTTAAACTCTACAGTTTTTTCTGTAAAATGTACAGGAGGGCGTGACATTGCATAAAACTAATTTCCCATGTTTCCTATGTTCCTATACTTACCGTGCACCGCCCGGTATACGTAGGTAGGTATATACGTATTGGGATTCAGATACAAGCTCACACTCGATTCTATGCAAGGAATGGGTAGAGGAGGGCGGGGGTGCAAAGCCATACACTTTGACACATTAATCGGGGGGGGGGGGGGTTACAAACCACCATCAAGGCCATACTGGGATATACACATATAACGGGCGATCAAAAATCAGTTGCCGTCCAGTCGCCTGTGGAAGTTCATGTTAAATACGATTTCCCATATAAACAAAAATTCCAAAGGTGACTCGACAGCAACTCATTTTTGATCGCATAGTACGCCCTGCATAGATTTTACTATACCATATGGATCAACGGTTAATACTAGTCCCAAATCATATATCCCCACAACAACGTCTATACTGTTGCCATAGGTATCTACAGGATGATGCACCCGAAATTTTCCATTTTCCAAGAAATTTGTCCGATAGGTATTCTCGCACGATTAGGGTGTTGTGTGCGGGTGCACATTTGCACAATTGTGTTTAAACCACCAGTTTCCAACTTTTGTTTTTTTGTATACCGTACATCTTTGTATTCATAACTGCAGATACAGCGAATTTTATTGAGACCGAAAGAGTTTAGTAAATGGTTGCGTTATGTAAGGTAGTATAGCATGCTATATTTATCGATGTTTTCTCTCTTGGCCAATGATTAATGAGGAGGGGGCTCTTTACACATAATCATTTAAAGGACGCCTGACATCCATTCAAAATCTACGCTATATAATGAAAGAAGAATCAAACTCATAGAGAAATTATCCGAAATATTGCATTTTTTCTTTGTAGGTACGTTCACACAGGCTGAATTATCTTCTATACCGTCTCCAATTAGCTCTGCCAGCCGAAATACATGTAAGATAACATTAATCCCCCCCCCCCCCTCGACACCCACTGATGTCGAAAAGGAGTCGCGCAGAAATGGTACACTTTGTCGACACTAATTTCAGTTCGATGAGACCTTTCATTAAAATTAAGAGTTCAGCATTAGTTTACCCCCATTTTCAAAAATGTTACTTGGCACCGCTAAAGGGATGCATTATGCAAAATATTGACCCGGTGATTGTCACATGTAAAAGTTATGCACGTCTCACTATTAAACATACGATCTGAGGAAATAATTCGGGGGGGGGGGGGGCTGAAGAGAGTGAAATTTAATGGCCGTCTGACACACCCTTAAGGCATAAGCTGCTTATTGCAAAAAACTCCAGGACTACGACAATTCCCCTTAAAGAAGTTCACAACACGGCAGAAGTGGGTCCGGAAAGACGAACGGACCAACGCACAAAACGCAAACAAAAGAACTAGATTCTATTTAGACGTGTGGATATGCAATGTCTTCTACCTATTCCTGATGTCCAGGAGACTAGTGAGTGTGGTTAGGTATGCCGGAAGTGTCCCAGTATTGCAGAGAATTTGTGTCGGGCACTTGCAAGAAATGATAAATATCATGCAAATCTGTTAGAAATTAGTTGCCATGCGCGCAACTTTGTGCTTGTGAGAGACATTGTTCTCGAAAGTCATAAAGTAGTACCTACTCTTCTGGTGTTTCACAAAATTTAATATTTCAGTCTTAGAGCACACATTCTACTCCTTCATACCAAAATGTTTTATGTTGAATTATGCTTTACGAGGTCGTATTTCACCAGATAACAAAATTGTTTTTAATTACATTTATTTCAATGCGTTATTTCAAATACAGGGTGTAGAAACGTGCCGTGAAATTATTGAACAAACGTTGTAATTATCACACATGAATTATAATTATAATATATAATTTCCTTAATTTCTCTGATTTCCCACAACAAAAAATTACAAATGTTTATTTTGGAACACCCTGTATTCATTTAAAAATGTTCTGTTATGTATAATCGTTAATACCTATAGATAAATAATACAGTAATATTTTTAAATGTGTGTACTGTTTTCAGTTATTACGAAGATTTATAGTTTCTTGCTTTTCTCAATATTTGTGATGACTGATGACCCTATATAACCAGAAGAAGTGTTGGGTAGATTTAATTTAATTTAGGTAGTCTTTAGGAAAGTTAGAATTACTTACATGTTGTTATAAAATCATTTTCAGTAGCTGATAGTGCGGGGTGGCATTTCAACATGTACCTACTTTTATGTAGGTCATACTAGTTAATCAGGTGAGTTACACAGTAATACCTACTTTAATGTCAAAAATAAGGACAATGGGAGCGATTACTAGAGCACATAATTTCTAGAGCGACTCACAAGTGGGACCGCTTACGCTGTCGGTTTTCCGTTAGTCTGTCCGTCGGTCTACGCCAGGGCTTCTCATAATTAATAAATATGCCTTTTTGCCAATAAAATCGATGTTTATTTAATTACGTGTGTGGAGCAGACAGATTTGGCTGAAATGGTCCTGAAAGCTGGAATGATTTTGGAAACGATTGGAAAATGTCAATGGTTTTATGTCCTTTTTCCTTTTGGCTATAAACGTGAAAAAAATGTCATAAATCCACTCGATAATCGATAAAAATTGTTACAGAGCCCTGTACATATTCACACAACAGAGTACCTAATAGCATTTAGGTACATCTGTTCACTTACGATGTAAAAAACACCTCTTGTGATTAGGGGCAATATATACTTACACCGAGTTATTCTCGATATGATGTTTACAATGGAGTTCTATTCATACGAGGAACATAAAATGAAAAATACTAAACAGGTATCGGTACTTTTAACAAAATTGTTGACCGTTGATTTACTATACACAGATACACTTAAAAAGTTAATGTCCCGCTCTGTTTTCGCTTTCTGCCATTAACTTATTACAAGCAAACTGTAAATTATAAATGAACTTGATGCAGCCCTCGGGGAAATGCCTCGTCGTTCCGTAGTAAGATGAAGGAATCTCGTTAACCTGAATTAGATTGCGCAAACATATGGATGAGTTCATGTCATGGAATGTTTATTAAATTAAGTTTTACTAACATGGTGTTTATGCTTCAATTAAAATTCCTGTTATGGAACTAAATATTTACCTAATTATTTTTTAGAGAAATCCGATTCCAAAAAAAAGAGTGTTTCTTGGTGTTCTTGCACGTGCATTACTTTTTATTAATGAAAAATATGTGTAAGTACGATGTCCTACTTACCTACCTACCTTTAAATATTTATGCATTGAGCATTGTCTGCTGAACTAAATATTTCAACTAAATACTGAAACACGTTGATTTTGATTTTAAAATTACATATTCCAATTGCAATTTTAAAATGAAAATCGACAAAAAAATGTATCCGTTACTTGGATGCACTGCATGATACTACTAGTTATAGTATCATATCATGGATGCACTGTATTATAATAATTATACCATGTATATTATTTAAGATGTACCTACATGTACAACTTTAATTACATGGTTTTTTAAATCATGTACTGCCTACAATTATTCTGAAATTTAAATTACTATACCATAACTATAAAGTAAATAATCATTTTTTTTATTGTCCTTTTTGAAGCAATGGTGTTATCGAATGGGAATCTTATTCGCTGTAATTCTCTGTCTAGTTAATTTTATTATTACCTTCTACAGACGTCGAGTCTGTGGATTAGAAAAATTCAGTTCCTTTCAACTGGACCGCGTGTTTTGTTTAGTCACATTTATACCTTTTTTACGTCTTCAACGATTTTTTGTATTTAAGATGACATTCTTTAGTTAATGTCTTTTTAATAGTTCCTTGTTTTTTGAAGTAATAAGAATTTTATATGTGGAATAAGAAAAATTCAAAACGTTATAACCACGTTGACAAACGGGTCTAATAAATTACAAAACTGTAGCTACTGCCCGTTATTTATACTTACCTACTATAATTTAAATTGCTTTTCAGAATGTTTCGGACCGTATGGATGGATGCATTTAGCACTTCATTCAATTTGTATCGTGGACGATGGTTGTTCAATCGAAAGACGACCACTGTGGTGTGTTAACACTCAGTTTTCGACCAGCATATCAAAAATAAAATTAGGTACTCACTTCGTCTTGATCAAACTTTTATAAATTAATTGTTAATGGTT